GGCCACGAATGCCATTCGGAAGAATATTCTAAAGTAAATAAATTTTGTTAATAATATAAAGAATAATTTTTATGTTTTAGCTAATGAACAATAAAATGAAACTTACAGAACTTTTACTATGTTTTATATCATTTTCCAGAGAAAAAAAAAAACAAAAAAGGAAGAAGAAGAAATGTATACTCGATGTATGTATACATGTATGACTATTTATATATTATTGATGTATACGTAACTTATATATTTACGCAATGTTAAAAAAATAACTACCATTTTAGCTTTGTATTGAACGTCGAACGATAGCATCTCCATCTTCCTCGATTAATTTCTGATGTATAGCACTGAGAGCCTGTATATCATACAAAACCAACATAAAATGAATTTACAAATTATTTTAATTCAAATATGAATATATTTAAATTTAAATGTTTAAAACAAGATTAGAAGCATTATCAAATTAAGCAATTAGTTATATATATACCTTAAAATATTTCACTGTCTTCACACGCAATTCTAGTGTTGCATCCTCGTCACAAATGATTATTGTACGGGGATGTTGCTGAAAAGCTGATACAGTCCACATGTGGTTGACTCCTTCTTCTATTGCCTTATAAAGAGCAAATGCTTTATGAGATCCTGTGATTAGAATCATGACTTCTTTAGCATCCATTACTGTACCAACACCAACAGTGAGTGCTTGATTTGGAACTTTAGAAATATCATTTCCAAAAAATCTTGCATTAGCTTCCAATGTATCTTGGGCCAATGTTTTTACTCTTGTACGTGATGCTAAAGAGGAACCTGGTTCATTAAAGGCTATATGACCATCTGGACCAATACCTAAAATATAACATTTGATTTTGTACACAACTAATTCTTTATATAACTTTATTCATTGTATAACAAAATTGCATACCACCAATAAACAATTCAATACCACCAGCTTCTTTAATTTTTTTTTCAAAATCATCACATTCCTTTACAAGATCTGGTGCATTACCATCAAGAATGTGTGCATTTTGTGGATCTATATCTATATGTTTAAAGAAATTATTATACATATAATAATGATAAGATTCTGGATGAACCCTGGGTAAATCAACATATTCATCCATATTAAAGGTTTTTACATACTTGAAGGAAATTTTTCCTGCTTTATAATATTCTATAAGTTTTCTATACATTCCTAAAGGTGTACCACCTAAAAAAATAATCAGCCATTTAACAACAAGACATTAATAAATTACATTAAACATTTTCCTTTCATTTGTTATATATGAAAGATACATACCTGTTGGAAGACCAAGAACAAAATATTTATTATCATTTGGTTGAAAATCATTAATTCTTTTTAAAACATATTTTGCAGACCATTCTGCCACATAATCCACTGTATCACAGATTACTAAACGCATTTTAAATTTATGTTGTATTTCAATACTAAAAGAAATTAAACTGTAAAATATAGCAGAAAAATATATAAATAAAAAATTGTAATAACTTATAAAAATAAAATATAATTTTTCAATAATATAGTCAATATTTCAATTAATTGTACAAATATAATATTCAGTATAATTTTACTAGTTTTTATTAAAATTCATGTAAATATATAAGTAAAAATATCATAACAACGTCCTTTTTATCTAAACGCACAGAAATCTAAAATATCTTTAATTCAATTTTTACATTATGTTTAATTTATACTTTCTTAAAGTAAATTCGGCATAAATTGTATCTCTATTTATTACCATCATGCTATAAAGTTTTATTTTCAAAATGTTGGAAACATAACTAATATATTAAATATATTGTTTCTTCGTCATAAAATGATTTAAACGCATATTTATTACATTATATTTGCGCATGTTTAAACGCAAGAATCTTAAGTGGTCTTTCGTAATTTATTTCAAAGGTCAATAACCAATGGTCGGTACCCTTTTGAAACATACATGTTCAATTTAATTAATAAATTTTAATATATCAATTTTTATAAATTTGAATGCTATGTCAAATGCGAAAAATAACAATTTCTACTTAATGGGAGGAATGAAATGAAACATAAAAAAATACGAACCTGATGAAAAATTAAGAACTGTTTTTGCAGTCAGCCAGGCATCAAATCAGCTGACTTATGACTGACCTAATCTCGAGCCTTTGTTGGTTTGTCAAAGATTTAATTTTCCATTTGTAGATATGCTACATGCACAACACTTAAAAATAGGTTCTTATATAAAACAAACTGGCTGTTACTTTACAATCTTCGCGAAAATGTACTCATTGAAAATAAAACTTTTTATCATTTATTAAAATCTATATGTATATTAAATATGTACACAATTATATAGATACAATCTTTTTTTAATTTAATTAATAAAATATATATGTATACTTTTTCAAATAGTATTTTTTTTTATTACTAAAAAGAATTAATTATATCTCACAAATATCGAAACAAATATGTGTGCACATGCATATATATATATATATATATAATCATGTTTATAATTCAGTAGTTCAGAATTTAGCGGGAACGTGCCCTTAATTTTACTTTTGATACTAAGTGATCAGTATTTCTTATATTATAAATAAATTTGTTTATGTATCTCATACAATCAATAATAATATAATGCCAGACGTAACAATTAATAATATTATTGTAAGTTTTCCTTTTAAACCATATGCAGTACAAGAAGAATATATGACAAAGGTGATAGAGTGTCTTCAAAATAGCAAAAATGGTGTTTTAGAGTCGCCAACCGGTACAATTTAATCTTTTTATTATTGAATTTAGTAATTTGATTAATTTAATTAAAATGAATAATTTAGTTACAAATTGAAATTGATTTGTCAAAATATGTAAATTATAGGTACAGGAAAGACACTGAGCCTTTTATGTTCTTCTTTAAGTTGGTTATTAACAAAGAAAGCTCAGTTACAAGCACAATCATTAACTGGTGCAATTGAAAATCCTGATTTTGGTGGAAATTTTTTTAAATGTTTAAATAATGAACTCAAAGAAAGTACAGGAGATACAAAGCTTAGTAATAACTTTAATTGGACTGCACCAAAAATTATATATGCGTCTAGAACACATTCTCAGCTTTCACAAGCTATGCAAGAATTAAAAAGAACTTCCTATAAACATGTAAGCACAGTTGTGCTAGGATCTAGAGATCAGCTTTGTATTCATCCAGAAGTTTCTAAAGAAACTAATAGTTCAAATAAAATATATATGTGTCATTCTAAAGTAAAATCTAGGACATGTTTTTATTATAATAATGTTGAAATCAGGTAAAAAATGATATTATTAATATTCGATATTTCTAATAAATTTCATTTATTAATAAAAGAAATAAATCTTTTAGAAAGGATGATCCATTGTTTAAACAGGAGGTACTTGATATAGAAGATTTAGTAAAAACTGGACAGAAATTCAAATGTTGTCCATATTTTTTATCTAAAGAACTTAAACAAAATGCAGATATTATCTTTATGCCATATAATTACTTATTAGATTCAAAATCACGAAAAACTCAAGGTATAGATGTACAAAATAATGTTATTCTTTTAGATGAAGCACATAATATTGAGAAAACGTGTGAAGAAGCAGCATCTTTACAGGTATTAAATTAAATGATATATAGTTGCAAATATTTAATTAAATTACTTTGAATTGTGTAGAAAATGTAGAGTTGTTCGATCTAAAACTTTTGTAGATATGTAGTACAGATATTGCAATGTGCATTGATGAAATAACAACTGTAATGGAAGATATGGCTAGTGATATTGAACAGCAAAATGATTTTACAAAGGAAAATTTAGGAAGTATTTCAAAAGATTTTACAGCAGATGATTTGTGTATTTTAAAAGCTATGTTTTTAGAATTAGAAAAAGCTATTGATGCTATATCAGTTGTAAAACGTGATGTAGGAGATACATTTCCTAGTGGATATATCTTTGAGTTATTAGCAAAGGCACAAGTAAATAAAAAATATTTCGTAGTCTGTATAATTATATAGACTTATAATTAAAAATAATAAATGCACTCAACAGTTAACACATGGTAAAGAGCAACTTGTAATAGAAAAATTGGAAAAAATTATATTTTACTTGACAACCACAAGTACTTCACCATTTGCAAGAAAAGGCAATGCACTACAAAAATTCAGTGATCTATTGAAAACTGTATTTAGTGGTGGTAATAGCTTAGACCATAGAGAGAAAGTCAAGCAGTGTTATAAAGTGTACATTCAAATAGAAGAAACAAAAAAAACAAAACAAAATAATGTTTGGGAATCCAAAAAAATATGTTTAAAAAATGAAGGCAAAGTTATTAGTTATTGGTGTTTTAGTCCTGGATTTAGGTAAGTATGTATTTACTTATTGCATATAGTTTCAATTACATTGTATTGATATATTTATATATTAATTAAAATAATCAAGTATGCAACAACTAATGAAACAAGGTGTGCGTTCAATAATATTAACAAGTGGCACATTGTCTCCCTTGAAACCTTTTATATCAGAACTTGGAATACCAATTGAAGTTCAATTAGAAAATCCACATATTGTAAAGGGAGACCAAATTTGTGTTGGTGTCCTTAGTAAAGGTCCAGATGGTTATTCATTAAATTCTTCTTTTAACACGAGGTAATATTATTAAGTATATTGTGTATAATACATATTCACTTTCATAGTGTACCTATATATCATTTAAAGAGTATAATTTCTATTTTAGGAATGATCCAAAATATATAGCATCTCTGGGACGAACAATACTTAATTTTAGTTGTCTTATTCCTCATGGTCTATTAATTTTCTTTCCTTCATATCCAATAATGAGAAAGTGTAAAGAAGAATGGCAAAACATAGGTTTGTGGACTAAAATTGCAGATCGTAAAGTAATTATTTCAAATATTATTATGATGATTATATATATAAATGGATAAATAAATAGATAAAGACACTAAAACTATTTATTTTCTTTTACTAGCCTATATTTGTGGAACCACAATACAAAAGTGACTTTTTAAATGTTATGAACGAATATTGTGAAAAAATTAAAGATGTTTCATGTAGAGGAGCTATTTTTATGGCAGTATGTAGAGGTAAAGTTAGTGAAGGACTTGATTTTGCTAATGCAAATGGAAGAGCTGTGTTAATCACAGGTCTTCCATTTCCTCCTTTAAAAGATCCTAGAATTATATTAAAACAACAGTATTTAGAAGAAATGAAGAAACAAGATAGAGAAGTAATTAGAATTTACATCCAATATTGAAATATTCATCAAATATTTTAATTTTATATATTTTATATTTTATTGCTCTTTAGGCTCTATCTGGTCAACAGTGGTATCAACTTGAAGCATCACGAGCTGTTAATCAAGCTATTGGTCGTATTATACGTCATAAACATGATTATGGTGCTATAATTCTTTGTGATTGTCGATTTGATAATTTAAGTTTTAAAAAACATTTATCTGCTTGGCTCAGACCACATATCAAGAATTTTACTAATTTTGGTATTGTTATGAAAGAGCTAAAGGATTTTTTTAAATATGCGGAATATACTGTAAGTTTAATTTTGTAAAAAAGGAATATGTAAATATTGCTATATTATATAATTATTTTCAGTTTCCACAACCAAATACAGTCAATATGCCATCTATGAGTAGTTCTGCTTTGTTGCCAGCGATCTCAGCATCATTTGATGCAACTGTATCTCACACTGTAAAAGTTTCTTCAAAACAGGATATTGAAACACCTTCGACTGAAGATACCTTCAATATTGATTCTTATGCCAATAAAGTCGGAATAGATATACAAATGGTAGAAACAAAGAACAAAAACTTATTTGAACTTTTAAAAGTAGAGTCGAAGCCCGTAATTAATTTTAGCGATTGTAAATTAAACAAAAATTATACTACTTGTGAATTAACAAGAAATATTAGTGAACCAGCCAAAAAAAAAAGAAAAATAAAAATGTTGCCATTAGAATTTAATGAACATTTATCAGGTCCTTCTACTTCTTCAAGTGTGAATACAACAGAATGTATGAACAATACAACACATTTTCAACAAATATTTAAAGAAGTTAGTAATGATGCAGATAAAAAAGCTTTAGGCAAAGTATATTTACAAGAAGTAAGTAATTTTTTTATACTACACTATTATTATATTGCATTATTATTATCAATTATAAATATGTAATATATAAAATTTCAATTAATGATAAGATTACATTATATAACTTTTACTTAATTATTTTTAGCAATTTATAGTAATAACTTATGTAATAAATATATATATATATATCCAATTACATTTCTTAGGTAAAACGATCGTTATCAGAAGCTAATTATAAAATATTTGCTCAAATGATACAAGACTATACAAGAACAGGCAATCTGGAGAAACTATTGAATACTCTGCAAAATTTATTTTCACAAAATAAGGGATTGTTTCACTTATTTATAGGTATCTTATGTATATTATTATACAAAACAATTTTATAGTATTACAAACCTTAAGCTAACATACAATTTTCAGGATTTAAACGTTTCTTAAAAAAACAACATATCTCTGCATTCGAAAATTATATTGCTCTTATTAGATGCAGCATAATGGATACAAATACACAAACCTAAGTATATACAAAATTTTAAAGCCTGACGATATGTAAAGAATGACTTATTAAAGACATATTACAAGTAAGTATTAATAAATTAAATATATTTTATTACTTTGCCAATATTTTAGAGTGATATAAATTTGTACCTATTTTTTTGAAGGTTTTATTTATTTTATCAATATTTAGTATATAAATTATTTTATATTCTAAATTTTTCTTTAAAATCTAATTAAAGATTGATCTCTTTCAACTAATATTTTTAATACATTATGCAAACACTCATAATATATTTTAGCATTTTCATTAAATACAAATTTATTAAAAATAACTCTTTTTGTTGGATATTTTGTTTCATTTTAAGATTGTTTCTTTCTTTACATAGTAGTTATAAGGCCAAATAAATATACTTTTTCATACTTATAATGAAAAAGTATTAACTGTAAACTTTTGTCACTTCAAAAACCGTTTGTATCATGTAGTAAAATATGAATTGTCAAAACATGGGGGGAGAGGGGTTGTCTCATAAAATAATCTTAAAGTAATTACATTTGTTTTAAAGTATGAAATAAAATTTAATTACAAATTGATTTAATTTTCGCATGTATATACAAATATATGTTACATATTGGGTTTGAATATGATACTTAACATTTGGAAAATATATTAAAGCACCAAGTACAAAAAATAAGTTGTAGTTGATCTAAAACTACAAAGTGGAAATTAAATTATTGTTAACTTATATATAAAGTAATGCTTACATACAATTAGAAACTAATAATTGATATTTGCAATGCGTGAGAAAATATGTTTTTATGTTTCATATATATTTTTTGCTTAATTAGTTATGTAGTTTATGACTTATATTAATGTCATAATTTTTCTGTATAACTTTTTTGTTTTCATATTTTCAATATTCTTCTTTTTTAAAACTTAACTTATAAAAATAAATGAACTGTTATTTTAAAAGATGTATGTCACTTATTTTTAATTAATATACTATTTTATGAACACATAATATAATGTTTTCCTTACAAAAGTTTGCTTAAAATCTGAATTGTTTTACAAGTCCACGGTATGAATTCCACTCGTATCTTTATTACTTTCAGTTTCTGTTTTGATAAGAGCATTAGTAATAATTTCTTGATAATATTCTCCAAATACACTTCGATTATGAGAAATAAGTATTAAAAATTGTGCTACTATTGCAGTTAACTCTTCTTGAAGTGATGAAAGTCCAGGTGGTACTTGTTGTGGTGCCGTGGATTGAGATAATATTATTTTTTGTAAAAATTGTCGAATTCTCAGGTCTATAAAATAAATAAAATAAAAATGTGAACTTGAAAAAGTTGTATTCAATACTTACTTATAAGATGTCTGATTTTATGCTCTGGATTGATAAGGTCTAATATCTGTCCTTCTAATAATGTTTCCATCTCCAGAGATAATGGAGCAGCACCAATTTCTTTCAATGTTGTTTTTAAGTCCATTTTCACTTGTAATACAATATTTGGCATTATAGTTTCCAAATCCCTACCAATAATTTATACAAAAAATTTAACTTATAATTCTATTATGTACACATATATATACTATTATGTACATACTTATTTGAGTGTACAGAATCTAATAACACATTGAGGTGTTGCTTAATATTCTTTTTAAAGCTTAATACTCCGTGAATTGGTGCACCTACTGTATTATTTACCAGCAATATTACAGATCCTATAATGCTTAATCTGCTAGTTTTATCACGCAATTCTAGTAATCTACCTTGATCGAGCATTAAAGTCTGTAAAATAGACAGCAGTAAAATTTTCATTATTATTAATTCAAATAATTTGAAATTAATTACGTTATTAATACAGATATTTGTATATATACTTCTGCATCCGGATTAAAATCCCATTCCAGGAGATCAAGGTATGCTTCAGTTAAAAGACAATGTGTAAGCTGACGCACAGCATTAATATCGGATGAACTGCTTGTAATTTCTGTTGAATCAAAATGCCTTAACAACCATTTTTCAGTAAGTTGTAGACCATTTGTATTAACTTTTAAAAATTCAGCAAACTTGGCTTTTTCATATTCAATACTTGAAGCAACTATATTTGGTCTCATCATAGTAATCGTAAAATTTGCTAAGTCAAGTCGCATTAATTGTAATATTTCCATTATACCTTTAAATATTTCAATAACATCTGTCTTTTGACTAAGCTCTCGAATCTTTTCATCTCTTACTGGTGCACAAACTTTACTCATAATTGATATTACATATTGAGCATAATGATGGAAGTCCAAAACACCATTTTCAGCTTGTTGTTTAATTAAATCTACATCAAGTACTTCTCTTAAATTTTCTCGAATTTTTGCATGATGTGGTAACACTAATTCATCTAGTGTCTATAACAAGAAAAAAATGATTAAATATACATTACATAATGGCATAAAAACCATACATGTTTTATAAAATTTGTATAAATTTGTTACTTCTTTAATTTCCTTTAACAAAATCAATGCCTGTGTATAATTTGGAGGATCTTCAGCTAGTTGCTCTGACAATAAATTCCAAAAAGCTTTATGCATAATTTCTTTAACTTTCCTGTGAAATGTACCATCATCAGGTTCAAGCTTTTGCAACTGAAAATTTTTATCCACTGCAATTTCATGTGCTAATGCCATATTCTTCATGCCATTTGCAGCTTTTATGATTTCTTCAAGAGAAACAAATTTTGGTGGTGATGCTCCTATTAATCCACCAACCATAAAATTTTGTGTTTTTTGTCTGTATAATATGCATTTAATTAGAATAAATATGAATATTAAATTTAAATACATTACTTGTTAAATAAAGTAAAAGAATAATCATATAATTTACCCCTTTACATTTTCTTCTTCTACTTCAAGGGAGTCAGATTGATAACTTACAGGTACAGATGTACTAGCTTCATTGATATTGCATTTTTGTTCTTCATCGTTTTCCATTTTTTGATTCCTATGCAATAATACATTAATATATAAATACTGAATCTTAATTGTGGTAATATAATTATAAAAGTTTAAAAAATATATAATAAATAATATAGTAAATAACATCAAAATACAAAGCAACATCATATTAAATAACACACAAAATAAACTAATATTACTAAGTAATTGTTAAATATTTTATTAATTATATTTTAGTAATTAATTGTTAAATGTTCACCAATTTAGTTATTAATATAATTAAAGTGGAAGGATTGTTTTTTATAACACACTGTAATCATTATAGATCGAATTGTAATTATACATTAAAATTAATAAATAAATTACTTTTATTGACATATTATCAATAAACATATAAATAAAATTGAAGTGATCCTTTTTATAAAGGTACACTGACCAAAATAAAATACCAGGAATAAAATTTAACAATGCCACTGAACGTGGAAGTTTGCGACTAATGAAGAGACAGCAAATAGTAATACCCCATATTACTCCAGCACCAATCAGAACTTTATTCCTAATAAAATACCATTTTATCAATATTCAACAATAAAATTATATAAATCTGTTTTATGCACATTATATGTAATTACAGAATTGTAAAAATAATAAGATAAAAACATACATTAAATATATTTTCCTAAATGAAATATACCACAAAAGGAAATATTTTATTATTTTACTTCCTAAACTTTAAATTTGCCTTCAGAAATATCTTTTTTTACGCAGATTATTTTCAGATTTAGATAACAAATTACAATAATTTATATAATTGTTACATGTTTTTTAATATGTGATCAAAATATATTATGTGTATGTTTGTATTTACAAAAAATATACCTATCTGGCATAATTAGTGTTTGATTTAACTGTTTTGTTGAAGCATGATCTGCACTCAGAAGCAGCTGGTACTTAAATGCAATAGGTATTGAAGAGAAGGAGGTCAAACTTTGTCTATAAAAAGAACATCCACAAGGTACATATAAGAACAATCCTTCCTACTTGATTTTAAAGAATTGATATAATATTTTTGTTTTCAGCAACCTACCTCAGGTTTATATATATATTTAATATGAAATATTAAAATAATTTTTAATTGTAATATATTTCATATTATTTACTGAAATATTTTGTCAATTATGAATAATAAAAAAACTCTGTAAATGAATTTTTATTCAATTAAACAGAAAAATAAAATTTCTATACATACTTAGAAATATTAATAAATTGATATTATGTGTTTATCCTTTATTTGAAATAGCTTATTAGTGTTTTTAGATTTTGTTACATTAAGAATATACTTTTTAAATATTTCAAATCAAATTAATTTATCAGAAATAATAATATATGCTTATTACGTGAAATATTTTTTTTACTATAATTTTTATATTTGCTAATCAAGTAATGTACATATGCACTGATCTATTTACAAACAAACTTAAATCCACAGTATTCTACTAATATACTTTTTTTACTATTTAATTATTTAGAAACAGTACAAAAATGTTTTTTTTTAAGTTTTAATTATGTTTAACGTTTTGGAACTTAATTAAAGAAACATATTTACACTTTCACTAGAAAGTTGAAATGCGTAATATCGGACTTGATGTTTTACCAAAATGTTTCAATGTTTATCATAATATAATTCACATTTCTATTCTAAATTTATCAGTAATTTTATATATAAATTGCCATGTTGAAAAATCAATTTTGTTCCAAACAACTATAAATTGTGTATTTACAACTTTTTAGGTTGATGTTCAACAGTGAACTTCGGCATATATTCAGTATTAAAACAGTAGCGTCCTCTATAAATTGTCTTTTTTTAAATTAGTTTTACGCATTTATTTTATTTATTGACGGAATTATCTCTTTCAAATATATGTTATTTAAAGTATTTAAAAAATGGAGATATAAATAAAAAACATTTATTAAAGACAATAATATTAAAAAGTACAGTGATTTAGACTTTATGCTTAATTTATTGGTATATTATTTACAATTAAAACAGTGATTAACAAATATATATTTATATTTATATTTAATTGATATAATTGACATTTATATAATTTAGGATGGTTTTGACATATACATATGTTAACATCCATTACAGATCAATGTTAACATTATTTTCAATAATACCATAACGAAAATTTCAAGGTACACATGTCTTTTTTAGAAGTGATATGATTCATTGTTGTCCACCTTGAGCTTCACGAAGGTTATATAGATACTCATAAATGAATTGTGAATGCTCTTTGTTATGTAAAAATAACTATAAATACAATGTTTGATAAATATATCGCCTCTTGATTTTTTAAATAATTCATATTTACAAAGAATATTATGAAAAATTGCTTCAATTACAGATGAAGTATAATTTTTAGTCTATGCTATAAGAAAATTACGAGTCTCTTTGCCATCTTACAATTAGTATCATTTTCAACATTACCAATTTAGATTACAATTTTAATTTAGATTAAATTAAGATTACAACGTTAGTAAATGATTGCAATTAAAACTAAATTTGAGTGCGAAATTTTAATTAGTTCGGCCGATATAATGAAATCTCACAATTAGTCAAATATAAAAACATTAATGTTCTTACTTCTGCAAAAGCAATTTAAGAAGTAGAATGAAGATAAAGAACCCGAACATCATTTAATGTAATACGATGACAATTGAAACTAATTGTAGCATTGCAGTGTACTAACAATAATCTATGAAAAGGTAAAATTACTCTAAATATTCAAAATATAAAACAGAATTTAATATTAGTAAATTAGGAGTAAGCGATAGTAGATAAAGTTAAAAATTAATTAAAATTTTTTTTATTTTGCTATTTAGTATTTAAAGAGTATCCAAAAATTCACGAAAGTTTTGAATTTTGCGCCATTCGTACAGTAAAGTGTTGCCAACAAAAAAAAAACAGCGTTACAGCTAACAGTTCAAGGTTATTAAAAATGGAGCGCTACACAAAAGTACAACGCGTCTTCATTGTTGAGCAATATTTACAATTTTTAATTAAAAACCTGTGTTTTCTATCAAAATTATTTCTTGTGTGAATTTTGGGACAAGCACTAATACCTGCAGTTGTAAATAGCATACGATCCTAATTATTGATGACATTAACCGTGTGATTTTAGCATATCGTTAGATTTATATTTTGTTTGTAATAAACGAATATTTGTAAAGTAGAATGCTTTTTATAACATTATTACTAATCTTATAATTTTGATTTAAATTAGTATGCTAAATAATAATTTTACAATTGAGGATTATAGTAAAGAAATATAGTAATTTACATTATTACATCCTCTTAAATATTTTAAAAATATTTATTGTCATAACATTAGTTAGAAAACATTAGCTTTCACTACTCTATGTGTTCATAAGTTATCTCTTTAAAAAATATATTTTTGAATCTATAAATGCGATTAACATCACCTAATATTTTCTTCGTTGCTTTGTACAACGATATTTATAATGAAAATCAATTTAAATTCTTATTTATATAAGGCAAAGAAAAAAAATTAGATTTTCATAAAAATTGAAAAAAGTTAGCAGCACTATAGTTTATACTTCATTAAAAAATCATTATTCGAAACAAATGTTCGTATAATAGTAACGTACATAAAGATAACAAGAATCGTAGAAGTATGGGATTCTATACTTCGTTTGTAATTATAATCCTGTCCAATTCAGTCTAATCCAGTCCAGAATAAATTCGTATATAAATTTGCATAATTTTATATTATTTTCGATTTATTAAATATATTTCCATATGTATGTATGTATGCATGCATTTATATCATTATTTGAACTGATATGAACTTATGCGATTATCACTACGCCGTATGCGCGGCTGTCATTCGTTATTAAATTGAGTTTGTAATACAAATTTTTACATATTTACATATTTTTTCACGCTGTATAAAAAATTTCTGAAGAAGTATTTCAAAATCGATGTATCGTAAATACAACATTTTGATTATTAAAGAAATTTGGTAATGGAGTATCTCGTGTCATTCAAGTATGAAGAGAAAACTATAGAGCGACTTCCAGTCGTTCACGTGGATAACAGAACCGGTCACACGCGCCACCTCCATATTGCATAAGGCCAAAATTGGCTCGTCAAAAATGTTAAGCTACGGTAGAGTTATAGGACGATTGCCAAAACTTGCAAGACATTCGCGTGCTAATCACTTTTCTCGACCTTTAAAATATATTAGTAAGTATCGATACATCAGTCTTAAAAATGTAATTTTCCTCAACTTATGAAAATATTTCTCCTGCTTTTGATATAAGAAGTTCACAGAATTTTCCATATAAATATTAAAGTAATCCTTTGTTTGACATTTTCATCGCAATCATTAACAGAACAACGCTATAATTGTATGTATATGTTTAGATAATGATATCTTTTAATTAATATTCTGTTAAATTTATGTGTGATAAGTTTAATTGAAGGTACACCACGCGATATAACCTTCAACTCATGTTGTGATTATATTTTTTTAATATCTTTTTGCATACGATAATATCAATGAAAAATTATAATTCTTTTTATTGCTAATATTACTAAATTAAAATTATTTAATGTTATGTTTTTTTTTATATTAAATTTATAATTTAATCATTTTCATAAAATTAATAAGAAAAGCTTTTCTTGTATTTTTATTTGTAAATTTTAATTATAAATGTATAATATCACTCAGTATTACTGTATCCTATTATATTTTTTGTTTTACTATTATTTTCTTTATTTTTGTAATTAATAATCCTTTCCTTATATTTTAGGAATTGTCAATGTTCATAACTTATGGTATAGTAGTAATACGAATGACAAAATATATAAGCCACCAGGGACCACCATAAAACCAGAAGAATGTGTACCTGAAAGTAGGTATTCTAAACCAAAAAGAACTGTTCCTATATGTGAATCACATCCTAATGCATCTTGTCCACCGTCTTGTTATGAAGTTTGCGGCAAACCAGATAATTCACAAAAGTCAAATGGCAAAAAGCCATTTCCACCATATTGGAAGATATTGACAACTTTATTCATAGCAGGAGTTACAATATATGCGGTATAGTATTAATATTATTATCATATATTATGTTTTATTTTAATTTTTAATTCCACTATGAATAATGTTTATCAGTCATTATGTTAAATTATAACATTTTTATTTAAACATATTCTATAGATATCTTCTTCAAATTGGATTACTACAAAGAAAACAGATTCTCAGGGAGATGTAAGTAAAAGTAAGTTGAATGAGAATGTAGCTATAAAATTTTGCAAAATTTTGAAAATTTATAATTGATTTGTTATCATATCACATATTTAGGGAAAAAGAATGGAAGGAGAAATAGAAGATCATTTGAAAAAACTAAATCACCACCTACTTCTAAATCATTCCCTTCAGAAATACCTTATCTTTTAATAGGAGGAGGAACAGCTGCATTTTTTGCATTTAGGTCTATTAAATCCAGAGATCCTAGAGCTAAGGTATTTTATAATTTTTGTTCCTTGGTTTGTTAAATTAGTATGTAGTAACATAGTCAAATATTTTTGTAGGTTTTAGTAATAACAGAAGAAGAAGATTTACCATATATGAGACCACCATTATCCAAAGAGCTTTGGTACAATAGAGATGAAAAAGTAGATGTACAGTTACTTTTTAAGCAATGGAATGGTGCTCAGAGAAAGTAATCACTGAGTAATCATTTATATAAATAAAAATTGGTTATATTTTTATGTAGTAAGTAATTTATTATATTATATTTACAGTATATTTTATGAGCCACCCGAGTTTTATTCAAATGTCAGTGACCTCAGTCAATCTGACAAAGGTGGTATAGCTGTAGCCACAGGTTGGAAAGTTACAAAAATTGATGTTCCAAATAAGACTGTGTTACTTGATGATGGTTATGAAATGAAGTATGATAAGTGTCTTATTGCAACTGGTAAGTAAAATTACTTTATATATGTAGTTTATACATAATTTTATACAATTACAATATATTTATAGGTGCATCACCAAAAAATCTTCCAGTTTTTGAGTCAATTCAAGGTGATCTTAAACGTAAAATTGCAACCTTTAGAACAAAAGAAGATTTTCTTGATTTAGAAGATGTTGTGCATAATCCTAAGTATAAAAATATAGTTATAATTGGTGGAGGATTCCTTGGATCAGAACTTGCTTGCTCACTGGCCCATAATTGTAGGTTTTTATTATAATTTTGTATTATTAATATCGTTATTTAATTAATTACTTTTCAACGTAAAATGGTAACTAACTATATATTTATGCAGTATCCGCAGATAAGAAAGTATATCAAATATATAAAGAGAAATTTATAATGGATCAAGTATTACCACAATACCTAAGTGAATGGGCAACAAAAAAAGCAATATTAGAAGGTGTTAATTGTATTTCTAATTCTGAAGTAGAAGATTATTCTTATAAAAATGGACAATTATCGCTCGTCCTTTCAGATAATCGCGTTGTACGTTTTATTTAAACATCTACATAGCATTGTTAGAAATGATACAATGAGTAATTTCTTTTTAATTTACATGAAAAGATCGATGCTGACCAAGTTATTGTAGCAGTAGGCATTGAACCAAATACTGATTTGGCAGAAGTTTCATATTTAGAAACACATCCTGAAATAGGTGGTTTCCTTGTTAATGCAGAATTAGAAGCAAGGAGTAATCTTTGGGTTGCTGGAGATGCAGCTTGTTTTTATGATATTAGACTTGGTAGAAGAAGAGTAGAACATCATGATCATGCTGTAGTTTCAGGAAGATTGGCAGGAGAAAATATGACTGGTGCAGGTAAATTAAAATTTGCCCCTTTTATAAAGGAAACAAGTTAATTAATTAATTTTTATTATATATATAATCATGTTAATTATTAATATAGGAATTGTTGTAAAGTAAATTAAGAAATGGACTTTCTTCTCTTTACTAGGAAAACCATATTTACATCAGTCAATGTTTTGGTCTGACTTAGGATCAGAAGTGGCTTATGAAGCAATTGGTATTGTAGATTCATCACTACCAACTGTAGGAGTTTTTGTTAAAACAGCAGAGTCTGATATTTCCATAACATCTGACAATAGTTCCGTTGATACTACTCAATCTTCAACTAAAAAGGTAATGATTAGTACATTACAATCATAATTTACGTGTATGTTATATATATTTTACATTTTTAAAATATAGAAATTGAGTGTAACACAAATTCAAAGTTCTGTACAATCAAACTCAGAAAAAACTGATAAATCATATTCTAATGATATAAAGCTGCCAACAGAAGAATCTAAAAAATACGATGATTTCGGGAAAGGAGTCGTTTTTTATTTACGTGATGATATTGTGGTTGGCATAGTTCTTTGGAATATCTTTAATCGCATATCTATCGCTAGACAGGTGCGTTTATAAAATATGTAAAACATGAAAAAATTAAATTTGTATGAGATATATGTCAACAAATATCTCATTTTATATCTATTTTTATTACAGGTGCTTGCTAGAGGCACAAAATATGATGATCTAAATGAAGTAGCAAAACTGTTTACTATACATGATGATTGATTCCATTAATGCAAAAAGTACATGATTGCACTGTGTCATTATTGTATATAAGATTATTTATCTATCAGTTCTGAAACATTTTACTAATAAAAAAAAAAGGTCTACAACTGATATCTTATTCCTGCGTTTAAAAGGTACAACTTGTATAAATATTGCATATTTTACGTACAAAGTATTCAAAGTAAAAAAAATTTATAAATAGAAGCATTCTTATAAATGATGAGATATGTTTATTATAACTATTATTAGATGTGAATTTTATTAGAAAATAAATGAAAATGTTTGGTAGTTATACAGAGTTTAACATCATTTTTATAATATTCATACACGTGCACACATATGCGCATATGTACATAATCACATATACACAAATATACTTAAAAATAATATAGAAAAATTAATACATAATAAAATAATATAATAATAAATGTTTTTAAAAAATTTTAATATTCGACATAGCATTTCATTACATTATACATTTCATATAATTAGTATTTTTTTTTTTTATTACCGTAACGAATAATCATTAAAGGATACAATTTTTCGTCATTCGTGTAACTGGAACAGATTTTCATATTTCTTTTTCTAATTAAATCCTTTGACCAAAAATTTGGGTAAAATTTTGTTTCCATATCTTTTATCTAATGAATCCATAAATTTGATATAATTATGACACTGATAATCATCTAAAATCTATATGAATATGAAAAAATGATATACTGTATTATGTACTATATTAATATATATCATATAGATACCATATGATCAGGCCACATTTTCTCATTTGTTATATTTTCCATTATTGCAAGTTGATTATGGTATAAAAGTGATACACAATAGTATATTATATAATCAGGTGAAAATAAAACACAAATTGCAAAAAAATGCATAATTTGAGTCCATGGAAGTAGTCCCCAAAAACATTGAGATACCATTAAATTACATATTAAAGACCAATTCATTCCAGAAGTATTCTGCATTTAACATAAATTAATAAATAATAATCTCCAATCAAATATAGATAACTTAATAATTTGTTTTAATGAATATATACCTTAAGTGCAAATTTTAAATGTGGAAGTTCATTACTAACAATATTTTCCACAAGTTGCATAAATGTATATTGCATAGCACATTCTTCCTTGGTATGCTTATCTATAACTTTCCCCAAATTAAACCACAAAAACGGAGTTACTGGGAACTGAATTAACTGGGTAATAAATGTTTTGCATCTGCAATTAATTGTTAAATTTTATAGAATCGTTATACTAGTATTTAGGAGGTCAGTGATGAAAATGACTATCTTATACACATTGTTATTGCAATGATGACTAAGTTTTCAACCTGAGACCTGCCAATGATGATACTTTGACTAGCTAGAGTTACTCTATAATTTCCTTTTTTAAAAAGTACTAGTAATTTCGATATTGCTTTGATCAGAAATTTTGGTAACTATTTATAAATTTTTAACTTAGTTTTAACAAAGTACTTTGAATTTACTAGTTAGGAGTGTATTCGCGGTCAACTGAGGCATATTTATATTTAAAATGAAATAATAAAAAATTTCCTATAGTAATTTGATACATACCTGTCTACATCTCCTTTACAAATAATAAATACAGTTGATAAGAACCAATCAAATCCATCAAATTTTGTTGGTCTTTCATATTGTATAAATGCATAACATGCATTTATAAATTCTTGTAATTTTTCTTTCATTTCAGTTGTATTATCTAAAATATTATTTTGTTCTGCATAGTACAAAACTAAATTAATTCCATGTATTTCTTCTGCAAACCAAAAATCTGTATTCGATGATATATTTTCCTTCCATTGAAAGTTTTCTCCCCATTCTGCAGTAGGAATTGCTTTTTGCATTTGATCCACCAGTTGAATTAATACTGTGTTCTAGTAGGTAAAACGTTTTTTTTCTTTTATAAAAATATAATAAGACATTAATAAAATTAAAAAACAATTTGAAGAAAGCTAGTTTATATTAAATAAAAAAAAATTAAAAATACTTTTATTGGATTTGATGATGCTATATATGCTTCTCTAATTTGTTCAACCCAATTACTATCTAACAATCCAGGTTTATTTTCTTGGAGTAAATTTTCTAATTGTGTGTCATATTCAGTTTCCAAGGAAGAATTTTCTTTGTTTGATTTTAGTGGAGGTAATTTTGGTAAATTATATTCTTGTGATTTGGAAGTTTCTTCTTTATCTTTACATTTAACAAAATACGTTTTAGATATAATTTTATGTCGTATTAAAGTATAATCATCAATATATTTTGCACTTATTTCTTCATTTGTAACTTCTGTATTAAAATTTTGAAGGTCTAATAAAATGTTCTAAAAAATAATTGTCATAAAAATATAAAGAGAAAATTAAGACACTTTATTTTCAAAGTATAAATGTATTACCTGAAAATTCAGTAATTCTAATAAATATAAACAAATATTTAAATTCCAAATTACAATATTTAATGATAAAAGTCCTAAATAATGACAATTTGATGCAGGATTTATTGAATCATTAAATAATTCTAATAAATTAAGTGGGTAATTGTGTTCTTCATTACCGTATAATCCTTTTGTATTGGACATAAATGCACAAAAACCTATAAAACAAAAATTAATAATTAATATTATTAAATTTATATTAAAATGAAGTGATGTGGTGAACAGTTTATATTATTATTCTTACATTTAAAATTAAGAGAAAAAATTGTTAATATATGCAAAAATTTTTGAATATTTTCATGATCCCATGGATCATAAAAATAATATGGATCTTCTAATATTTTACATGTTTCTGAGAGTAAGGTAGACAAAACGTGAGGTGCAAGATTTGCAATTACATTATATCCTAAACGAAAAAAAGCAGCAGAGGATACAAAATTAACAATTTCAATCGATGTCCATGACATTCTTAAAGGTGCAATAGATCCCTCAATTAATTCTTGAAATACAGATGGCTCTTGAACAAGAGCTTTCAATCCAAATGGTATAGATACCATTTTTAGCAATAATATATTAACTGCACTATAAATAAAATTTTATTTTTTCAATATCATATTTCATTAATAGAGATAAATAGTATATATATAAAATACCTATTACCTATTTATTTGTTGAATTTTATTTTCATTTTCAAAATAAGATTTATTTAATTTCTTATAAAAATATGATACAGCAGGATAAAATTCATTTTCTATTTTATATTGTATTATTTCATATGCATCAAATATATCAAATAATTTTTGTATTACTTCAAATAACTTAAGAAGATATTCTATATTCATTAAAGAAAAAGGTTGCCTTAAGATATTTGATGCTATTACTATAATAAACATAGCTGGACATTTTGATACTCTATTTTCAAAGTTTACTGTATGTTCTTTGCATTCTGAGATAAGAAATTGGGAACCATCTGTTGTATCTAACATATGTAGGATAATATTTAACGTATGTGGCCATATATTAATGTTATTTTCAGAAACAGATGCTAAATGACATAATGCAATATGATAAAACTCATGGTTGTACAATATAGCTGGTTTATCTAAAATAAACTGTAGAGCGTAACAAGAAACATCATATACACCACTTAATGTTTCTATAGATAATTTATTTAAAGCTTTCAAACAAGCAGTTAAGAATTCAGAAACTGAAAATGGAATATCAAGTACATTTTCTGTCAAAAGTTGACGTCCTGCTTCATAAGCACAAAGCTGTGATATAAAACATAAACAATGAAGATAAGTTACTGTTTCTATTGTATTTCCATTAATGATAACTTCCATTGGATCATCATCAATAGAAATTGCTATAGAATGGGGAAGCTCTTCCAATCCTTTATATACACATTTCATTATTTGTTGTACTAAACTTGGTGATTTTCCTAAGGCAGTTAAAAACATTTTTCTAGTAGCAAGACTAACTATCCATTTTTTGCTCCAACCAGCATGTGGTTCTAACACAGAAATAATATTTAGTACATTTAATATCTTTGATTGCGTGGCATTTCCAAATTCATGTACACTCAAAAATATAATAAATTTTTCTATTAGTTCTTCTATAGTTTTATCAGGGTTTCTTGCACTTTTTAATTTTTCTTCATGATAACGAATTATTAGATGTATAACTCGAAATACTCTTTCATGCAAAAAGAATTTAAAATTAATTCCAGAAATTAATGTAGGTAATATCTCAAATGTTTTTTGTGAATGATATTGAGCATCAAATGCATTCAATAAATTAATATATACATCGTGCGATTGAAAACAAGTTAGTAATTTTGCATGTACTTGTAAACTAGCTTCAAAAATAGGTCTACTTTCGTCTATAAGACCATCTAATAAAGCTTTTTGAATTGAATCCCATATCGGATTATTATTTAAATTTGATAATTCACTTTTTAATAAAATTTCATAACCAGCCAATCTAACATGAGCAGGTTTATTTTGATTAATTTTATCAAGAATAATACTGTAACACTCATCATTATTTAATGGAGAATTCCAATCTTCACTTGTTTGATCACTGATACATGAAAAGGATGATTGAGGTCGAGAATCGGAAATTAGAGTTAATGCAGATTTTGAAGCAGATTGTTCAATAATTGTAGTTCTCATCGAATTCACTAAAGTGGACATTTCTTTTGAATGAATAATTTTTTGTGCTATATTAACATTATCTATATCTTCTTTCAATGATTTTTGCACATTTATTTCAAATTCTTTTTTTAAACACTTTTTTATCCACTTTTGAAGATTTGGAGAAATATTGCCTTCCATATTAACAAAATAAATAGTTTTCATACAATCGTATTTACACAATAACTATAACTAGACATAAAAGAAATCTTTATGCTAAAATTCTGTTTTGATTTTGTTTCTATGGTTACCACATACAGCAGATGAAAATATACTATACTTCATATAGTATAATAAAGATTTAATACTTTAATTCATGTAATAATTTGTTTATATCTCACTGTTAAAAAGATATAACAATTAACAATTATATAGAAATGTTATACAAATAATGTAATTAAGTAAAATATTAGAATATATAAATGATATAAAATTAATATTGTATTGTATATACATACATACAAATTGTATAATTTTCAAATATAGGAAGATAATATTGGTGTAATTTATTACAGTAAAGAGTTTTAAATATTCGCAGTAATTACATACAATTTTTAACGTGCAGCTACTATAGCATTTGGAGATTTCGCCCGTAAAGCAGAAATTCCTCCTTGTAAGGAACAAACACCCATAACTCCACATTTTACTAAAAAATCTGAAAACTATACAATACGTTTTAATTTCAGCATTAGACAAAAAATATGAATTTTACAATATAATATTTACCAATGCATTATTTTGATCATGGGGTCCTATAATTACAACAATACTATTTTTATTTTCTACAAGTGGTTTTGCATGTGATCCAAGAGTTTCAATATGAGTTTGAGATAGTTGTACACTTGTAAATGGAATATTAATACTGCCTACTATAGCACCTCTTTCAAATCTATACAAAGAAAATAACTACCATACATAAAGATAATTTGAAACAAACTTAATTTTCATTTTGTGAATAAAATACTCACTGTATGTTATTGCGTATATCTACAGCTATTAATCTCTCAGGACTACTATCTAATAAATTTAGAAAATCATCAACAAAAATTCTCGGCATTTTTTCAGTATTTGGTTCCGGTTCCAACCAATTTATATCCTGTAACAATTTTTTCGAACGTGAAAATAGTTATAACAATAAATCATTAAAGTACATATAAAAGTCTATATTTATACCTTTGGTTGATTAAACTGATGTTTCCTATAAGTAATACTAGATGGTGTATTTTGGTACATAATCATGGAATCTTTAACACATAATTCTATATCGATTTCAGGAAGATCAGAAAATAAAAGAATACACTCATTAAAACCTGAAGTTAAAAGGGAGTCACGCAATTGTTTCAAAATCGCTAGTCCGACTAAAAGTGGAAATGCAGAATCTCCTAATAACAGTTTATCCCACAGGTGGAGTATTTTATGAAGTGGAAATACATCTAATACAAAAAAATTCAAGAATATGCATTAACAGCTTCAATACTTAAGTGGAAACATGTACCATGTAAACAATTTTATATTAAATTACATTAAATAATATAATAATAAATAACTTACGTGAAAACATCGTTAAAAACCATGGAATAGCAAACAATTCCGGTACAAAGTTTATTGATCTAAGATGATTAGCTAATTGAGGATCATGGAAAGCTATAATTTGTGAAAATTTTCCTAAGTATTCTTGTATAACAGCAGAATTATCTTTTAAAAAAAATTTATGAAGATACTTTGGTATAAATGCAGACAAACATTCAAATGCTCTAGCTAAAAGAAAAATATTATATAATAAACTCAAAAATATTTATGTATATTATATGACATATTTAATTTATTACCTTCATTATTGAAATTAAGATAAAGAAATGGAGCTGTTAATGAATCTAATCCTTGCCAATAAACATAATGAGGATTATTACGAACCCATGCTTTGAGCAATCTTTGTAATCTCTCATGACCAGCACCAGATGATAATAATTCACTATATTGATGACATCTTGGTATATCTACCTCTATCTAGAATATTCTTAATTAGTGGGAACATAAAGATAAATAATGTAATATGAGTTATTGACAAATTACTTGTCGATCTGTGTGCGTAGGTGTTTCTTTATCGATCATATCATAACGTTTCTGAATATCGCCAGTAATACCAAGTAATGCTGCCCAAACAGCCCCTCTAACAGGTGGAGGTATATCCTTGTGTGCTTCTTCAATGATTGCTTCCCGTGTAAGTGGATATACCTAAATTATAATTATACAATTTAAATAGTATAAATACACATATAGTTTTATATTTATTAAAGATAAAAATAAAAAATATTTTTATATTTTTTTATGAAGTTATTATATGTTACTAATTATATATTAATAACATATCTTTCAGTAATTTAAATTTCAGGTAACTATAAGTACTTTAAAATTTCAAAAATATTTAAAGTAATATAATTACTTGTAGTAATCTATCATATAAAACGATCCTATAAAATTGATATTCCGTATCCCTTTCTCTTATAATTAAAGGTAACTGAGAAGCAGCATCTATTAAATCTTCTTGCAATTGAACACGCATTCTGTAAAATAATTAACAAATGATTAATAGAACACCGAAATACAAAGTAGAATTTACATATATTTATTATACCTACTGATTTGTTAACCATGGATAATTTGCTATATATGGAATATGAGACAAACGTTGACGCAATGTATCAAGAGGAACTTTAACCACACGTAAATCGAGTAAGCCTGCTGCGTCTCTTCTACCAAACATTTGACCTAAAAGTATTACTAAACTAAAAAAAAAGATTAATAAATTTTTTTAATTTTTATAGAATATAATTTATGTAAAATTTTGGTAATTACTTTGGAATGGATAATATAGGAGGTCTGGATCTAATAAGACCCTGTTTTTTTAATTCCACTGTAATATCTCCTCCTGCTAGTTGCCATAAATAATATAATTCATCCATTTTTCTAACAATAATATTCTTATATAAATTCTTTTCTTTTTCTTTTTCATTTTTTAATAGAAATTCTTCAAATATTGACAATTTCAATAACTCTTCTGGTACTTTGCGTTTTGAAGGGTAAATTTGAAGACAAGAGTCTACAAAGTCTTTTATTTTATCAGGTAAGTCCTAATATAAAGTATTAAGGTGATAAAAGTAAATAAGATATTATGTGTATTATTCATAGTGAAGTATAAGTACAAGAAATCGTACCTTATAAGCATTGTAACAATTAGTTTCTCTTGCAAGACGCTCAAATATGGAAGTTTCACAGTGTAATAAGCTAAGAATTTTCCGCAAGCATTGGGATAACTTTACACCTGGCCAAATTGGCTTTGCCAGTAATAATTCTGCAATAATCATTCCTAGAGACCAAGAATCTACTTTTGGACTGCTAACATCAGGACTCAGAAATACTTCAGGTGCTGTATATTTAGGATAACTAAAAGTAAATTGAACTATATACTTGAAAAACTTTTCTTATTTATATTTTTCTTGTAACTATTAAGTATTCAGTTACAGAAACATTTTTTAAGTTTTATTAAAATTAACATTTTGTTAATACATACCCAATAGGAAAAGATACATTTTTTCCACTGTCTGTCATATAATATAAACCAAAATTATACAGTTGTAAATTTCCACTTTTATTAATTAATATGTTTTCAGGATTTAGATGTCTATGTACTAAATTTAATTTGTTCATATGTTGCAAACCTAATAAGCATTGAAATGTTATTTTCACAATTTCATCTATGTTTAAATTTTCTTTATTGTTTAATGGGTCTCCATTATATTCTGCAACCACTACTATCCGTTCTATAAAAAACAACTTTAATTACATAGAATACTTCTAATCTCCTAATTTTTAAATACATTGATCTTTACCATGTTTACTCCTAATTATATCAAGATATGTTGATAAATTTGGGTGATGAATAGTCTTTAAAAATTGAGATTTTCCATATATAGTTATAGAATTTGGTGTAAGAGGTAAACCATTACTACCACAAACTTCAACTGGATGACTTTGAGCAAAAAATGTCATTCCACCAAAACATCGTTCTTCATTTTCTAAAAGTGCTGGACACATTGTTAACTATAAAATAAAGCATATTATCTTATAAATGATGTTTAAATAATTAATATAATTTCAATGACATAAAAACTTTAAATATATATTAAAATATATTACAAAACTTATAATATAATAAAGCAATATAACATACTATAAGAAGTTACAATAAAACATACATACTTGAGTTAATTTACGAAATTTTGTACTATAGATCAATAAAAATTTGTATTATTAGTCTCGATATAGGTTCATGGTTATCATCGTTATTATTAATTATAAAATATATATAAAATTGTTTTTAAATATTACACTTTATCATGATTAAATTACTTAGATTTTTTGTAAAATTTAAATTACTTATTCATTTATTCACTTTTGTTTATAAAAATGAATAAGAACACCCACTCCATATATATACGTCATATCGTAATTTATGTCATGAAACAACATAATGCCATGTGTGGTATATACTACTATTTATATTAAAGTATATACAATAATGTTTTTAATTAATAATAAATAAAAAATAATTGATTAGTATAGATTAAAAAATTAAATCTTTTATTTAAATAAATATTATATGTGAATTATATTTTAGCAATAATAAAAAGTACATAATGTAAAGTATTAGAAAATTGAATTATCAATTAGGTATTACGTTAAAAATATAATGTCAATAAAACAATTCACTATTGAAATATAATTATAATAACATAAGAAAAAATTTTAATTGTAAGTGCGCCATCTGTGTTAGTTTCAAGAATTACAAATTGATTTAGTACAACTTGGCGTATTCCCATCTAGCAAATGTATATTAGTGTAGGTCCTGCTTGTTATATTCCTTTCCGGTTTTACTTCGTCTGTAGGTTGGTTCTTTTCATTTGAGTACTCGTATTGTGTAAAGAACTATAATGACGTAAGTACTTCTTCTATCTTTTTAAATCTTGAAAATCTGACGTTTTATTTCTTTAATATTTTAAATAATAAATATTTTAACATATCTTCTTAATATAATTAGTAATATTTTCTTTAAATAAATACTCTGAAGCATTACATTGTTTAATGTCTATACTTTAAAACGTGTCTCTACGTTGTAATTTTTCAAACATATGTTGTTAAAGTTTTTTACAAATAAGTGCAAATAACAATTATTTTATATATTTTCTTAATTTAATTAGTAGTATTTTCTTTAAATAAATACTTTTGAACCAATACATTGTATTAATGTTTATACTTTAAAATGCATCTCCACGTTGTAATTTTTCAAACATATGTTTTTAAAGTTTTTTATAAATAAATGTAAATAACAATTATTTTACGTATTTTTTAAATATAATTATTAGTATTTTTTTTTAAATAAATTTTCTTTGAACCATTATATTGTATTATTGTTTGTACTTTAAAATGTCTCTATGTTGTAATTTTTCAAACGTATATTTTTAAAGTCTTTTATAAATGAATTTTAAGTACTGAATTATTAACTAGAGTTAAACTTACTCATTTAATGTAGATTGTAATAGATCAAATTGTGATTGTAATAACCAATAGGTCCAAAGTATCACGTGATACTCTCTATGAATGTGTGAATGCTGTTATCCAACACTCACAGGACAAAAAAAGGAAATTCTTAGAAACAGTGGAACTCCAAATTGGTTTGAAGAATTATGATCCACAAAAGGACAAACGTTTCTCAGGCACCGTCAAGTATGTTTTTACCTGACATTGAGGATTCTTTTCGGTTTTTAATGATTACCATAAAGTCTACTTTTTTTATTTCCTTTTCTTTTTTTTTTTTTTTTAATAAATTTAACATCCGAAAAGGTTGCCTCTTGCATAATCAGGAAGCTGGGTTTTACCTAGCGGACCTTCACCCAGGGTCTTAAATAAATTGGGGAGGTTTCATACCATTATTTTTATTACAGGATCATAGCTAATGATCCTGCAGGTAAGTTAATATGTGACTGTGGCAACTATTTAATTAATTCAGTTATTGAAACCAATGTTCAATGATGATAAACTATATTGCATGTATTATCTGAATAATTTCTGTGATTATTTAATACGTTACTGAGAACATTGACTTTAATAACTGCATTTTCATTTTTGTGTAATTGTAATATTTTTATATTTTATATTAATTGGCAAATATAATATTTTGGGAAATGTTAATTTCAATTGTTCATATAATTTATATTTATTAAAGATTAAAGAATATTCCAAGGCCAAAGATGCAAGTTTGTGTTTTGGGAGATCAACAACATTGTGATGAAGCTAAAGCTAATAATATTCCATATATGGATGCAGAAGCATTGAAGAAATTAAATAAAAACAAAAAGCTAGTAAAAAAATTAGGTAATTTGAAAGTTGATATTTTATTACTTTAATATTCTTTTTCTTTATCTTCCAAAAAGCACCATTGTTAATTTTAATTTATAACAATGGTTGTCAAATGGAAGAAAATTAAATACTTCGCTAGGTGAGGACATTGCATTTTATAACCTTGTACCTCAATCCGCGTTGAGACATTTTTCAAATTAATACTATTATAATTCAGTTTAAAAGTTAATTTTGACTCTTTCACAATTAAAATTTCATTTTTACAGCTAAAAAATATGATGCCTTTTTGGCTAGTGAATCTTTAATTAAACAAATTCCACGAATTCTTGGTCCTGGATTAAACAAGGCTGGTAAATTTCCTGGTCTTCTTTCACATCAAGAATCAATGGTAGGGAAAATTGATGAAGTGAAAGCAACAATTAAATTCCAAATGAAAAAGGTAAATCTTTGTTATTTATATATATATATATATCATGTTACTTAAAAAAGTATATTACCAAATCTTATTAAAATAAAATAAGAAGCGTTTGTAATTTGAAATGTTTAAATGTAATTAGAAAACATTGTTTTAGGTATTATGTTTATCAGTGGCTGTAGGGCATGTAGAGATGACACCAGATGAACTGGTACAAAATGTACATCTTTCGATTAATTTTTTGGTTTCATTATTGAAAAAACACTGGCAAAATGTGCGTTCTCTTCACATAAAATCTTCTATGGGACCTCCTCAAAGACTGTACTAATTTAATTAATATCGATACTTTCGATATATAATAAAAGAATAAAGCAAAAACAAAAATATATAACATAATTTATTATGCAAAACTTCCTACTTAATTTTTTTAATGAATGACAAATTAATAATTATATGTAATAATATAAACATACCTCAAACTTAATTAATTCATTGAATATCATACAAATTTTATATTTACTAAAATATACTATTTATTACTAAATATAAAATATAATACATTTACTAAAAAAGCATATATACTCTCCTATTTCGCTTCATAAGTTGAACCGGTGTTAACCCGGTCATAAACCTGAAGAGACTACTCTACGATTGAATATAATTTTGATACCGTGAAATAAACTGCGTTAAAATACGATTATAGTACGTAACGTTCAATTTATGAAGAAAATTAAAGACTTTAATCAATTATTTACTTATATTAATAAAATACTATTATTTAAAGAGTAACATTGAAAGATTCAAATTGGGAGGGAAATTAGTCTTTTACATACGTCCTTTTTACTTTTAATTTAATGCTTAAATATTTAATATATATAGTTAATAATTGTGTATATCGGCATATAAATATACCTTAAATTTTACATAACTATAAATTATAAATTTTGTATTATTTATGTTAATGCGTTTATAATTAACAGTTAGTTACGATTGTATATCTCGTTTTGGTTACCATTACTGTGCCTGTGATTATCCATCATTATCAATAGTTCAATTATAAGAGATTCTCTGTGTAAACATATTAGTTATGCCCGTGATTACAATTATAATTATAAATTTGATGTATTCTACTAAAAGTTCGTTTGAATTTCATAAATTTTTATGGCCACCATAATTTATATAAAAGTTTCAAGATATGAATTTTATAAAAAATTATATATTAAATAAACCAAATTTTTTATTTCGAAAAAATTGAGATAAGTATTATCTTAGTGTTTGATTAATAAAGTAGTGCAGAGTACACTTTTAAGAGTTTAAAATGAATTTGGAATTCTTATCAACGATATCAATGATTAGGGGGGATAAATGAAAAGCTGTTGGTAAGTGGTCATAATGATTATTGACAAAATGACCAACGTATCACGTTTTCAAAATAGTTCCTCGTACCTTTGTTAATACAGTTTATAGATTCAAGTGCTTATTTTTCTGAGAACTTTATTGACAACATAAAAGAATTTAAATTGTGAATAAATTAATATTTTTTCAATTAAATTGATAGAAGAAAGTAATTTTATGCGCGAAAGAAGTATCAGTTCGTAATAAAAGATATATTTATTTGTGATGTATCAGTGAACGAAGAATTCTCTCTTAGTGAGATTAGGTAATATAAAGAATTATATTATTGGAGAAAATATGATTGACAATAATATATCAATTAACATTACGAAATTCTATTTTATATAGAAAAAAATGCCTACTATATACTATTTTATTATTAATACTTCACATTTTTACAATGTCCCAAAGTATGGAAAGAATGGCGTAATAAAAGTAAATTTGTATTACATGTTTTAAAATATGATGTTAAATATTTTTAATTTATAATCATATTTTGATTGTTAAATTTTTAATATGACAAAATATCTACTTTTAGAGTATAAAGCTAAGTAAACAATATTTCGTTTTTATAAATATACAAGATTAATGTTTCACTTAGTCAAAATATTTTAAGTATTAAATGATTCGATAAATATGAGAATATGTACAAAAAATTCATATTAACAGAAAATTAAAATAATCTCTAAATATATCGACAATTGATAAAATGAACGATCAAAACTAAATCAATTATGCAGAATTAAATTGATTAGTCAAATTTTTTATTTTTCAATATTATGAATTTAAACGAAAGGTAGAATCGTTTATTTAAAGATTAATGAAATTTATCTTCAATATTTTTCATTTGTAATTTAAGTTGTTAAATATTTCAAGTTTATCAAACAAAAAAATAACAATATCATCTATTCTTTATTTGTCACGTGTAATAATTTATTCAAAAATTTTATTTATATCGTACATCATTTCGAGTAGTGTTTGCTATACGATATATAAATATATAATGTAATTATTATAAAAATTTAACATCTTACTTAGTGCAGTTAATTAAGATAAGAATCATTAAACTGTTATTTTTAATTTTGGCGATTTTAAAAATATTTTTAAATGAAATTTTGTTTCAATTTACAGTATTCTTAGAAATATGATAGAAAAAAAACAAATGAAAATATTGATTTACGCGCTACATACTATCTATGTATTTGGAGAAAATAATTTAATCAATACTGAACGAAATGAAATTATGAACACTTCAAATGAAATTTTAGCGTATGATTATGCTAAATATGCAGTATCTTCGAAAATAAACAATTCGTTTCTGAAATCATTTAGGAAGATCGATGAATTTAGAAATGAAATGATAGAATATAATCAAAATCAGCTCCTGTTGGATGATTACCTGAAAAGCAACAATACTAACATATTGATTCTTGATACAACCATTAACGATATCGTTCAAAAATTCGAACACATTTTTAATACATCTGACGAATTGACTAACCAAATTTTATTGAAAAATGATTCATTAACGTGTTACGAGATAGGTATAATCCTTTACATAAAAATCAATATATATTAATGATTCCTTGTTCAATTTATTTTTAATGTATCTATAGATCGAAGAAATGTACGAAATTTAACAGTTGAGTTGGCCGGTACTGAGTGGATATTTCTTTCTTGGCAACCTCCTTGTGAAAATGCAACAAGTGTACTATTTATATATACAATCGATATTTGTTTAGAGCAACAATGTTCTCCAAAGAATATAACCATACAAAACGACACACAATATAATGTCACTGGTCTAGATCCATGCAAAGAATATAAATTTATCGTAAAGATTATTGACAATGAGTTCGAATCAGATGGAGTTTCTGTAATAGGAACGACAATTTATAATAGTATGTATATAATAATAAACAGACAATTATTTTTATAAAATTTAATGTCTCTATCTTATAATGTCATACCTGTTATGTTATTTTATTCCTTTTAGTTACCGAAATTAAAGATATTCGAGAATTAGTCGCTCATACTACTATTAATACAATTACATTAAATTGGAAACCACCAGAAAATTATTCCACGTGTATAACTAATTATTTAATTACACAATGTTTCAAAGATACTTGTAATAATGTAAGAGTTACACATGAAGAATATGTTTCAAAAGATTTGGAACCATGTGAGAAATATTTTTTTATAATTAAAGTGGCTTCATATTTAATACAATCTAATGGTTTCAATATAACATTGAAAACAAATTCACCAAGTATGTTATTTACTAATTATATAAATTTCAATATTTAATTTTTTATTAATAATAACTTTAAGTTATAATTATTACTTTTGTAAGAATCTAGTAAACCTCTATATCCAACTGTAGAAGCCAGTGCATTTTCTTTATTCATTCATTGGCAACCTCCAGAAGTTGGTGCAAGGTGTATTAAGTTTTATCGTATTACAATTGATCCACAATCCACGACAAAAGAAATAACTGGAACAAATGTAACAATAAATGATTTGAATGCATGCACTCCATATTTTGTTTATATTAATGCAGTGGATGAAGATAATAATGATGGAGAAATGGTCACAATGGAAACAAGAACAGCACCAACTGGTAAACAATTAGCTATAAATATTATATAACTATACAAAAACTGTGTTTAAAACTGAATAAAAATTTAACTTTTTTAGTATCAAGACCACCAATATTAAATACTAAAGAACCAATTGTTACTATAAATGATATAATGCTTTCATGGAAAATTGAAAAAGGTAACAATAACTGTATTTTAAAATCCTTAAAAGCTATATGCAATTCCACTGCAACTAGTGGACATGGTTATGAAATTAAAAATGGAAAAGCTGAAGTAGTAATTGATTCACGTATACAAGATGAATATCTTATTATAAATTCAGTGATTAAAAATATCAGTCCATTTACTACATATATCTGTTGGGCATATGTTGTTAATGAAGCAGGGAATAGTGAATTAAGTAATTTAATAAGTGTAACAACATTGGAAGATAGTAAGTAAAGACAAATGTATAAAAATTGTTACATAAATGTATATATAAAAGTAAATTTACTTAACATTGTAGTTATTAATCACTATTTAAGGTAAAAAAATGCAATAAAAGTTATTAGTAATATTAATGGTAGTATTTAATGTTTTAGTACCATCTGCACCTCCATTCAGTGTTATAAACATAACATATTCCCAATTTATATTTGTATGGGAATTACCAATGTATCTAGCTGGAAATGTACATGAATTTAAAATTGTATTTGAAGGTGAAATATGTTTTCCTGTACCTGATTGGTGTAAACAAATAGCTTTAAAAACCATTAAATGTATAAATGGATCTACATTTACTTTTGAATATTTAGAAGCAAAAGCATATACAAATTATAAAGCAAAAATTAAAGCAAGAACTACTGCAGGTTGGGGAAATTATAGCAATGATTTAATATTTCAAACTCCAGTTGGAGGTAATTTCACATTACATGAAGCTACAAATTTTTGTAAGTTTAATAATATTAAAGTCCATTATATTATTATAGTTATTATTTGTTAGTTCCAGGAATAGTATCCAATTTTTCGTATTTAATCGCAAATAATAAAAATAATACAAATATTCTGGATACTATCTTAACATGGGGTATTCCATGCTCTTTAAATGGAATATTAGAATATTTTAATGTGTTAGTAAATGGAACTAGAACTAATTATTCTCCACATGCTTTTACGATTAAAAAGTATATTTCAGATAATGTTATTAGAAATAATATAGTGTCAATAAATTTAAAAGAATTGAAAGCAGAATATAATTATACCTTTAAAGTGTCAGCAAAAGTTCAGGGAGTTGATGAATTTGGAATACCAGCATGTCAACATGTTTTATATCCTGCTGGTAGTATGTATTTAATTTTAAATAATATAAGCTAATAATTCTTATCTCTAAAATTTGTTTAAAATTTTATTAATGTTTATGATTTATATTTCAGTTCCGTTTCAACCTGACAAAGATTATATAAAATTTATAACTATAGATCCAGCTAATGCACGAAGATCTACTACATCAGCTACGCTTTTACTTCCTTTATTTCCTAATGTAAATGGTGATATTGTTTATTATTCTATTATAGTATCAAGAACCGAATATAATATACCATCAAGTATCAGATTTGATATAATGAATCATACATGGCCAAACATATCTTCCTGGGAAGAAGCTATGGTACAAGATTTTATAATACCTTATCAAGCAACTAGACTATGGTGGGATCCTTATCGTAGGTGATATATTTTAAAAATATATACCTAAATTTAATTAAAAGTATTGAAAAATATATTATATATATTTTTTATAGCTAATTATGTTGCTGATTATGGTGATGTCAAAGCTGTAAAATATACACTTGGTGAAGACACAAATTGTAAAGAAATTTCATCTAATACTAATAAAAGAATTTATTGTAATGGACCTCTTAAACCAAATACATGGTATCACGTTAGAATGCGGGCATTTACACGTGGTGGATATTCCGATTCTACAGCATTCCTAATAAAAACTAGTAAGTATTTATCAACTTCTTTTATCTTTTCCTCTCGCTTTTAACAAACACTTTTTGTAATAATTATTTAGTTTTTGTTACTATAAAAGTCATGTATAAAATTTTATCATTCTAATTAAATATTTTAAATTACATTAGATTCTGAAATAAACATCGCACTTGCTAGTGGCGTTGTTTTTGGTATTTTATTTATGGGAATTTTAACAACAATGATGTTGTTAATTCGCAAATGTTCGCTTTACGTGTAAGTAAAACTTATTTTTTTTTATTTCCAAATATTTGAAGTTATGAAAAGATATAGAGTATATTTGACATTAAAAAATTCTAGAAATAATACTCATATTAATTTGTTAGAATTATATGGATTACATGTTATACTTCTTAAATTATTTATTATTAAAATTTGTGAAAGTAAATATATAATTATGAGAAATAGTTAATATTTTCTTCTAAGTCAAAGGAATATTATAATTAGCAACAAGGAAATTAATGAATGCAGGTGTCTATTACAAATGTTAAAATACATACTATATATTTAATAATTTATAAATTATTCATTACTTGTATAATAATTATTTAAAAATTGCATAAGTATATATAATATGTGTAATAAAATTAGAGTATTTACATTGTATTAATTTTTTATTAATAATACAACATTAAAATGACCTTATGGCTCTGAAATATAGATCATTATCTCAATTTTTTTCATAGTCTATTAAAAATATTTATATTATAGTTTCATATTTGTAAACAACCTAAATAAGTATTAATATTTATAGTGCCTTTTTATATTTTTTTACCAAATAAAATAACTATATTAAATGTTAAAATTTTTTAATGTTATAATAAACTATACATTCTTATAAAAAAGATTCTGTAATTTAATAATTTAATAATAATGTATTTTTTTTTAGAATATTACGACGATTTCTACATTCTGACATGTCTGGCTCACCAGTCCCTGCATCTTTCTCAAAAAAGAAATTTATAGCACATTGTCAACAACTCATTGATAATCCTGGAAAATTAAGTAATGAATTTCAGCTACTTCAAACGCTCAGTGTTGATTTACAAATGCCAACCAATACTGCTTGCTTACAAGCTAATAAGAAGAAAAACAGATATTCTGACATTTTACCATGTAAAGATTAAATTCAAACAACATAATATATCAACCATATTCAATAGATTTCATTACAATAAATTTTCAGATGATTTCTCAAGAGTTAAACTGGAAGTAATTGATAATGATCCTAATACTGACTATATCAATGCCTCTTTTATTAAAGTAAGTAAAAATATAATTATTTAATTACTCTAAAATTGAATTAATTAAATATGTATTATATTTAGGGCTACAGTGGTGAAGATGAATACATAGCTTGTCAAGGTCCAAAAGAAGAAACTACATTTGATTTTTGGAGAATGATAGAACAATATAATATCAATTTAATAGTTATGTTGACTGAGTTAGTTGAAAAAGGCAAAGTATGATTCTTGCACTAAATAGATTCCTAAAAATTTTGTTTGACATATGAATATTAAAAATATTATTTTATAGGAGAAATGTCATCAGTATTTTCCAACAATTAGAGAAACTTTTAAATATGAAAATATGACTATAAAATGTATAAGTGAATTAGACTTTAGGTCTTACACACAAAGAACATTAATATTACAAAAGGTATAAGATTCACAAAAATTAAATAATAAAATGTAACAATTTGTCAACATATAATATAATTAGTATTTAAAATTTTAATTTTTCTAATTATAAAAAATAATTATAGGAAAGCAATAAAAGAAATATAATACATTTACATTTTAAAGAATGGCCAGATCATGATGTTCCAGAAGATTTTGATCCAATGATTCACTTTTGTCAAATTGTACGTCGTAATGCTACTGCCAATAAAGGATATATTATAATACATTGCAGGTATTACATATATAAATTTGATTATTTTTATATTATTGCTATTATTAATTTTGCTACTTATATTTTTACAGTGCAGGAATTGGTAGAACTGGCACTTTAATAGCAATAGATATAATTTTACAACATCTTCGTGATAATAGAAAATTAGATGTATTTGGAACAGTGTATAGATTACGACATCATAGAATAAATATGGTACAAAAAGAAGTAAGAAAATTCAGGATATCCTATATTAGCATTGACATGAACGAAATACTCCTATAACAAATTTTAGCTTTCATTGTTCTTTCAGAGTCAATATGCTTATATATACAATTGTATAAAACAGGTATTAAAAAATCCCTATTGCTTAAAAAGCTGTAAGTTTGTTACATTTAATAAATTTATTTAATATTATTTCTCAATCCAAAAATGAAAAATTTTCTTATCTTCAGATAAACCACCACCTATGGATCCAATGTATGAAAATACTTCAAAGAGAATAAAAATAGTACCAACTTCAAATATAGATCTTTGAAACATTTATTTTTTATTATATATAATATTATGTGTTATATTTACAATCAATAATAGAAATATATATTTTGTGCTACAGAATACAGATATTAATTAATATAATAAACATAAGATATACCATAATTACAAATATTTTAATTACAATATAGTTTTCTTATTATCCCACTTTTGAAACTCTCTATACACGTTTATGTATTATATATTTAAAATTTTTTTCATACATTTATAATATAGTAGTATTTATGTTTTATTTATAATATCTGAATTGAACTTTGTTTAATTTTGTTACAAAACAAAAACTTAATTTTTCTTTATTTCTATGGACTCTATATGAATGTACTTTTATAATAGATCAAAATGTCCAGAATATAAAAAGTAATGAGAATATTGTGATGTAAATTTATAATTAGGTAACTTTATAACTAAATATAATTATATATGGATATTACAAATAAACATAGAATTTAATAATTATAGTAAATATAAATAATTAACATTAATGTTTAATCTTTTTAATTATTAACTTTAAGTGCATCCACATTTTATTTGAATATATGTATTAAAACTCAATAATTTAATATTAACTAACTAAAACTAATATAAACATTTTTTTAATAAAATTTAATTCTTTGGCCTATTTTCTTACTTTAAAAATTTTCATGTTAAATATTTATTTACTAAATTGTTATTTATTGACTTATTATGTTATACAAAACTATACATTTACATCCAAATATAAAGTAAAAAATATGACTACTATGTTCAGAACATGAGTACATACAATAATACTTATATCACTTTATATTTATTTTTAGTCACAACATATTTTTATTTATTGATATAAACTTAATCACTATATTTTCTCATTGACTAATATATTGATATAAAAATTATATAAAGTTTTATTAATAAAATTAATCAATAACGATATTTCGTAGAATAATCTTTAGGTGAAACAACTAAACCTCTACCTTTCCTAGCACCTCTGTAAACAGTTTCAATAATATCTATCATTTCCTGTTTGTCTTCTAATGTCCAATTTATTTTATTATTATTTCCAGTTCCTAAATCAATCATTATATGCTTATTTCTAAAGAAAAACATCACTGTACAAGGATCATATAATTCATACCTGTAAAAAATAATATCTACATGTCCTACAAAAATTTACTTTCAGTTATATAAAATAATATATTTATTTCATTATTAATAAAGTAATAATTTAAAATAACGTAGAAAAATATATTTAATGCTAAAAGTATATAATAACATCTATTATAATTAATAACTTCTAACTATATTAAAACTTACATTTTATTAAAATCAGGTACTTGTGTAATATCAACTAAGTAAATGACAGCAAAATTTTTTACTTTTTCAGCTATGTTATACAGAACTTCATCCATTTTCATACACATTGGATCCCAATCATGGCCAAATCTAATAACCTAAATAAATATTATTTTTAACTAATTTGATATCCCATATTCAGTATGAATATTAAATAATTCTATTAATGTCCAAGAAACCTGGAATATTGGAAGAGACAATTACTTATACAACTTAATCAAAAACTTACAACTACTCTATCTTCTTCCGATAAAATCGCCTGATCAACTTGCCATCCATTATGAAGATGTGATAACATATAAGACATTTTGTTTCTTATTTATTAAATACCAATCAGAGAAAACAATGTGACACAATTGAAATAATTACAATTTAAAATCTTACATTCAATTTTAAGACACTTTTTGTTACTATATGTTACAAAATAAAAGATATAGATTAATAATACAGTTCACAAAATCATTTAATAATTATTTATACTTATTATTTATACAGCTTTCATAATGTGATTGAAATAAAGTACAAAATTTTGTTTTTATTTCATACAATTCAATTAGTATTACTATTACGATATAAATATGTTTATATGGAAAAGAAAAAATCCATTACTACCAACATATTAGCGGTAATTAAAAAAATTTCTAGTTTCAAAATCTCTATAGGCAGTGAAAAATCACAAATGTCAACGTGTACACTTCTTATATGGATATTTGATTAATGATTCCTATTTATTATTTAAATAAGAATGCAAGACATAAACTGAAAACATTTAAATGTGCGAGAAAACATTTTTATTCCTGAATATATCATTTATATTAATCACATATGTATGTAAATTTTTGAATGAATATTATTTCGTAATTTATTAATAATAAGATCAAATTAGAGGCATATAATGAATGTATTTATTACAATTTTTATATACTCGTATTTACTTAAAAATAAATTAAAAATTCAGACATAAAATTTGATAAATTTGATCATATTAATTTATTTATTAAACATTTACAGAATTAATTTACATTATATATGTATTTAGTAATTTTCTAATAATTCTTTTTAAAATATACAAGAGTAATCATAACATTATGCTTGTGACATTAATAAAATACATTATTTTTCAGGTAAAATGATCCACTGGCTTTTATATTGAAAAAATTATTTATAAAAATCATCTTATAATGAAACCATGTACTATAATGAAACCATGTCTTATAGTGAAGCAACGTAAGTATATAATTTTATGTAATTTATGATAATTTTCTAATTTCTATTTTATATTTTATTTTTTTAATTCATTTTGCAGGAAGTGGTCAAACATTAAAGTATGTTAGTTTAATTACACTTACATTACAAAATGCTCTTGTTGGACTTAGTATGCGTTATGCACGTACAAGATCAGGAGATATGTTTCTTTCATCAACTGGTACACTATATTTTTATAAATTAAATGTTTTGATCTATTTAATATTTTCATGACACTCATATGAATTATTAATGTCTAATAGTGAAGTATACTTTTAGCTGTTGTTATGGCAGAAGTTGTTAAACTTTTAATATGCCTAATATTAGTTTTTGTTGAAGAAAAAAACTTCTCAAAATTTGTTGATTCCCTAAAATTAACAGTTATAAAGCAACCTATTGATACTTTAAAAGTATCTGTGCCATCACTTTTATATATTGTACAAAATAACCTTCTCTATGTATCAGCATCTAATTTAGATGCTGCAACTCATCAGGTAAATACAGTATTTTCTATATTTTTGGTACTTTTCACTTCTTAATATTGTTCATAATGCTTTTATTTATATTATTTCTTAGGTAACATACCAACTAAAAATTTTAACAACAGCATTTTTTGCTGTAGTAATATTACGAAGATCTTTAAGAACTACTCAGTGGGGAGCTCTGATATTATTAGTTATAGGAGTAGTATTGGTACAATTAGCACGAAATTCAAATATTCCTTTGCCATCTGGCATAGAACAGAATCATTTATTTGGATTCTCAGCTGCTTTAAGTGCATGTTTTCTATCAGGTTTTGCTGGAATATATTTTGAAAAAATATTAAAAGATTCAAATATATCAGTATGGATGAGGAATGTACAATTAAGTTTATTATCATTACCTTTTGGATTAATTACATGTTTCATAAATGATGGCAAAATATTGCAGGAACAGGGTTTCTTCTTCGGTTATGATTTATTCATTTGTTACTTAGTAGTACTTCAAGCAGGTGGTGGTCTTATTGTTGCAATGGTAGTTAAATATGCAGATAATATACTTAAAGGTTTTGCTACGTCTTTGGCCATTATAATTTCTTGCGTAGCTTCTATATATCTTTTTGACTTCAATTTGAATTTACAGTTTTCTTTAGGTGCAGTTTTAGTCATATGTTCAATTTTTTTATACAGTTATGAACCAAAATCCATATTTATTGATAAACATTCAATATAATATACTTCAATATAATACAACATAAATTAAACTTGCTAGTAAGATAAACATAATATTGCCTAATTCATCAATTTTGTTAACCAATTTTATTATTCATTCAGTATAATTTAATATGTCTTTTTCATATAAAATAATGATCTATATAGTTGAAACTATATATAATTACAATATTAGCACTTGTATTATATCACTCACTTTATCAATATTTTATTGTATTTCTTATACAAAAGTTTTAAATTGATTTTTTAATATTAATCATGAAGTATAGCCTGATACTAATAGGTTATATAGAAATATTAAGAATATAATTAAATAAATTATATTTTGTGTCAAAATTGACTAAAACTAAGTGAGCACATTTTTATATCAAATTAGCAGATTACACACATTGATATGTAAAATATATCTGAAATATATCCTAAATATTGAGATTCACAAAGGATTATATATAGACAGTTAAAGTACATTTAAAGAAAGACAAAATTTCATTTAATTTATTTTTATACAATGTTACAATTTTTAATTATAGAAATAAGTATACATATGTATTAAAGTTTAATTCATAATTTACATTATACTTAAGTTTTAATAAATGAATTTTATAACGTTTGTGTAAGTTATTGAAATATAATTATTTGTTATTAAAAATGTATGACATGATTTATACAAACAATTTTGTAATGAGATTTAATAATAGTTGAAGAGGAATTTTACATACATATTCTTGTATACATATCCTGTATAATAATATTACATTTAACAATCAAAAATTTCAAGTATTCCAATACGCAAATATAAAAGCTTATCGCTAGATATTTATATATTTGCATAAATATTATCATATAATTAAAATTACGAAAGAATACAATATTTAAAATAATTAAAATATTTAAATAATATCGACTTCAGTTTTAGAAAAGGTCGATATATAAATTACGTAATATAAGTAATGTCGGAAAAAATTAAGTAGTAGTTCCATACAAGTTGGCAATCGTGTGCAGTATCGTGGACTCATCATTCCAGTGTAAGCAAAAACTTCGATCTCCAGTCGGTATATAAAAGTATTGGTAAGAATGAGTGAGTCTCAATCGAAGAAAGCCAAGATGACGAACTCATTGACGCAGTTAAAGGAAATCACAACAATTGTCGCCGATACCGGTGACTTTCAAGGTAACTAAACAAAAATTTTAAACAACCGATTTTGTACCTAATACATGTATGGTCAAAGGTGAAGGTGACTATTAAAAAATGTGGCAGGGGAAGCATCAATCACGCACTTTTAGTTTACCGTTTAAATACTGAAAATTTGAAGAAAATGTATTTTTTCATTTATTTATTTTATTATATATTTATGTTATAAATGTATATATATATATAAAAATATAAAGTATTCTATTGAAAAACGAGTAGTAATTGGAAGTTCGGATCACGTTATGTACCAGGGAAGGGGAAATTACAAAAT